AGTCGAGCATTGGAAGGAAGTCATGTGGTCCGATGAATCACGTTTCTAGTGCATCATGCAGATGGCAGAGTGAGAATTTGGCAGAAACAGCATGAAAGCATGCACCCCACATGCATGAGTACAACCCTTCAAGCTGGTGGGGGCGGTGTTATGGTTTGGGGCATGTTTTCCTGGTATGATTTGGGCCCTTTAATTCGTGTGGAACAGCGTCTGAATAGCACAACATACCTAAGTATCGTTGCTGATCAAGTTCATCCTATCATGTTGATGGCGTATCCCAATGGAGATGGCTTCTTCCAACAAGACAATGCGCCATACCACGGTGCTCGTATTGTGCAGGAGTGGTTTCAAGAACATGAGGGAGACTTTACCTTGCTTAGGTGGCCCCCACAATCACCAGATCTCAATCCAATTGAGCATTTGTGGGACGAAGTTAAAAGAGCCATCAGGCAGCTGGTTCTACAACCATCAAATCTCACAGAACTGGACAGTGCTATTCATCAGGCATGGTGTCAGATTCCTCGCATCACCTTTCAACATCTCGTGGAGTCAATGCCAAGAAGAATCGCCGCAGTATTGAAGGCAAAAGGTGGCCCAATGAAGTACTGATGGGGTGGTCATAATAATCTGGCCACTCATGTTCAAATATATCCCACGTTCAAAGGCTGTTAAATCGCGTTGTTTACCCATATCTTCAGAAAAAAATCACTTCTGTCGTCGTGGTAAACAACCTGCTTCCCTGTTTATAATGGTCTGGCCCTCTAGCAACTTCAGCGCGAAATTATAGCTAATTTGCCTACAAACGTCAGGTGGTCATAATAATCTGGCCACTCAGTATGTGTGTGTGTGTGTGTGTGTGTGTGTGTGTGTGTATACACACACACATATATAGGTACACATATACAAACACACATTTATTATATATGTTGTAGTAATTATAGATGTTGTAATAGAAGGAAATGCTAAATAATGAAATGTTTAAAAGTGATTATCTCTAGATGGTGGGATCAGGGTAGTTTCATTTTCTTCTTTGCATAGTTTTTGCATGAGTGTGATAGAGTCCCTGTGTCACTGGCCCCCTATGGAGCTGCATGGCCCACTCACCTGAGCCTGAGGATTGAGCTGGGCCTGCCCTCCATCTCGCCACCTGCTCTGACCAGCACCTGGCACCTGCCTGTGCTCTCACTCTGAACCCAGTTCACCACGTGATCTAGGCACCGGTGCCACACTCCCAGAGGCTCTTTTTCTCGCACAGCTCGTGTGGTGTTTGACTATCTTTTCATCCCATCTTCCCCCTTGCCTAGCACCCTCGCCAGAAGGACAGTCTCTGGTGGCATGGTTCGCCTCAGACCTGCCCCTCACCCTCGTGAACTCTCTGCTCTCCTGTCCCAAATGACAAAGATCCCCATCACTGCTCCGGTTGGCAGCAGGAGCCCCACCCACAGCAGTTCTCGCCTCAGACTGGCCCTGGCAGCTCTCTGGCTCCCCTCTGACCCCTTCTCCTTGTACTTCAGCATCAAGCAGACCGCCCTGCTTTCGCTTCATGAAACATGTCATCTTCTCTCTCACCTCCAACACCCCCCCACCCCACCCTCAGGCTACTCCTCTACCTGGAAAGCCCTCGCCCTTCTTCCCTGGCTCCCTCCTACCTATTCATCCCCAAGGCCACTGTTTCCAGGTCAGTCAGCTCCACCTAGTAGCCTGTCTTCCTGGACCCTCCTGTCGGGGAGGACAGGCGCCCCTTCCCTGTGCTTACTCTGCCACTTCACCATAATGTCATTGCACATAATTGGGGCTCAAGAACAAGCTGCTGCCTGGGCTTGGCAGCAAACCGAGCAGCATTGGAGAGCCCCCCTCATGCTATGGAGCTTATTGCAGCACAAAATTCCTTGTCATGGCTCTGAAAATGGCAGGTCTCTGTCTCCCCCCGCATCCCTGGCAGGGCTGCCTCACTGCTCCTGAAGGCAGTTGGTTGCGCCTGACCAACAACTTGTGACTACTGCCACTGCCAGCAGCTCTCTGCCACTCGGGCCACAGAGCCTGGGAAAGCTGTCCCCAAAGGCTTGAACTCAAAGGATTTTTCCCAGAGTCTCAGCAGAGATCTTAGACCCTGGCCCAAGCTGTGTTCATCAGGGCTGTTGAGACCCTCTTCCCTGCAGGCTGGTGGCTGCTCTACCCTAGACCAGGGCGCTAAGCAGCCTGGGCTCACAGGCATGTGATGGTCATGGGGGAGGGAGCTTTGGAATCATAAAGGTAGGGTGTCACCTGCTACCTATGAGAGGACTTTGGGTAGGTCACTGTAGGCCCTTCCCCACTCTCCATGTGCCTCTTGGGAATCTCTGGAGAGGAAAAAGCGTTATGGCTGATGGCCCCTGAGGAACTCCTATTGCTGAGGAAAGACAATAATGTGCGTCAGAACACACCCTTCTCTGGCGAAGGCCTCATCTACTAGGAGCAAGCCTCCCCCTGTCACCCATTGCGCTCTCCAAGATGCAGAGTCAGCTCATGGCTCAGAACCAGTCAGACAGCTGACGAATCCCACCTTTTAGCACAGGGGTGGGGGCAGTATGAGTGACTGCTGGGCATGCCTGGTCATCACCTGTGATGGAGGATTAAGGCAACAGTCCAGCCATTTTGACCACTTTGTCAAAAGGAGGATGTGGGCAGTGAGGACATCATCTCATCTCTCTGCCCATGCTCCTGGCAGGGAGCCGCTCTGCAGACCCAGGAAGCCTGCTGCTGGACTGGGGGCCATGGGTGGGAGCCCTGAGCAGTGGCTCCAGGTTCTGTGCAGTGTCAGGATCCAGGCGCGGCAGCATCTCCCGGAGCAGTTAAGGCAACACCACCCCTATTTCATGGCTTCATTCCAAAGCAGTGTTCTCACTGCATTTTGTACCCCCCAAAATATTGTCAACGATTAGAGACACTCTGGGTTGTCACAAAAGAAAAGTGGTTTTTCTGGGTTCTAGTCGTTAGATCTCAGGAATGCACGGGACATCCCCCTACAACAAAGAATTACCTGGTCCCCAAATGTCCATGTGCCACAGAGGAGAAGCCCTGCTCAGCATCCCCTCCAGAGGCAGCTCTGTGAAGGCCATCATGGGGGGCTAGATCCTAAGTGAGACCCTCTGAAGCAGGGGAGTATGTGTGGGGGGGTGGGAACACAAATTTCAGGTAAAGGGGCGTCAGAGTCACCGCTCTCCCCACTCAGCCCCCTCCTAGGAAAGGTGCTGCCTAGGAGCTTCTGTTGGGATCTGCACCGTCGAAGGAGGTGGGCCACACTGTCCCAGGTGAGATGGGGGTACACTGAGACGAGAGAGCTGCCTGAGCAATCTCCAAGCCCCCAGGGGCTTTGCATAATCCACAGATCTTACTTCCCCAGCCATCTGAAAAGCAGCAAAGCTCAGCCAGCCTCTCAGCCATGTGCAGAGAAGACAGGACTCACTGCATGAGGAAACCTGCCTTGGGAGTCACCCACCTCCACTGGTCCTCAGCTCAGCTCTCTAGGGCTCCAGTTCAACAGTGTCAGAAGCCAGCGACCTCTCTCTCCATCAGATGCCCAGTGGGAGAGGGGGCGGTGGTGATGCAATGAGGCAGCTGCCTTTACAGGCAGCCGAAGTGTGAGCCAGTCAGAGGGGAGAGATCTTTGGAGTCTGAGGGTACAGCAGGGTGACCCCCCGCTCCATCACTGACTTGTCTCTTCACCTGTCCCTTTCCTCACCTTTCAAATGAGGCAAGAATGACAGCTACCATTTGGAGGCCATTTATTATGAGCCAGGCACCTCAGGTGCACCTCATTCTCACAGGGGCCCTCTGAGAATGTGTATTATGCCTGTGAGATGGGTGAGAAAATCGAGGGGAGAGAGCTGGTCGAAGGTTGCACAGGTAATGAGTAGTGGAGCTGGGACTGGAACCCAGACCTGCGCAGCGCAGTCTGCCTCCAAGGGGACCATGCTCCAAGGACAAAGGAAAGGCCTCCGTATGCTCAGCATTTATTCATGGTGGACACTCGAATTAGGGGACTGGCTCTGGAGAGGTGGGCCCCCCATGCCAAGGGCTACCAGAAAGATGCCGCTGTAAACACTCCTAGGACCTGGAGCCAAAGGCCCTGCTGCTGTTGCCTGGGCAGGCCAGGCCCGGCTAAAAATAGAAGGGCTCTCAGGTCCAGCTCCCTGACCACAGCAGGCAGGCTGCCCCCTGGGCCCAGCCTCCTCCTCCCCACTCCCCACTTCCCCATGGGCAGGATCCAGGCTTCTAGAAGGAACTGAGATGTTAAGGTTTTCACTTCAGGCCAGAGACAACTGTTGGGTTGATGCCCAGTGGGCATGTTCCAAGTTCTGGTAGGGCCATAATCGGGGCGGGGGAAAGGGGGAGCTTATGATCCCAAGACCCCAGCCATTTCCTTCCTAGAGAGGGAGCTGTCAATCTCCAAAACCCACCCCAGGAAGGAGCTGGGCCAAGGCCAAAAGTTGGCCAATTTCTCCACACCTTGCCATGCAATCTGGAGCCCTGTTTTTCCTTCCTCTGAACTGACTCACTGTTGACAGCACTGTGCGATACTGTATTTGCCATGGCTTTTGGAGAAGGTCTGCTTCAGGCCCTCTTGGGGAACCCCCCACCCCGAGATGGCAGGAATGAGGCGCACCAGCCACCCAGAAGGCAGTCCTGGCTTCAGGGACAAGTGCTTACAGCAGCAGGCAGGGGCGCAGGGCGGGAGGCTCTGGGGCCGGTGGCCTCGGTGCAGGTCTGGGCTCAACTGGGGATTTCCTTTCAAAGGTGACTTAGAGCCGCTACATTAGGGGAGCGCCCTCCCGGGCGGGCCTAATGGCGTGTTTGGCAGAGTCAGCGAAACGCAGCGCGCAGCGGCTAGGTGGCGGGGGAGCGCCCTCTCCCGCGCCCTCGCCATCTCCCGCGCCGGGCAGCAGCGCGCACGGGGCCATTTGCAGCGCAGGCAGCCTTAGGAGCGGCCGCGGCGCGCCGGCGGGGAACGAGGTGGCACCATGGAGCTGAAGAAGGACAGCAACACCGTGTCCATCGACATGCTGCTGATCGTGCACTCGGAGAAACGGCGCGCCGCGCAGGGCACGCACTCGGAGCGGCAGGCGGACCCGGGCGCGCCGCCGCAGCGCAGAGGAGGTAACGCGCGCCCGGCCGACCCCCAGAGGTCCTAGCACCTCGGCCTCTTCACCCCAGGGTCCGCCCGCCGTGGGGACGCCCCTCACGCCCCCAAACGAGCACAGCGACACGACCCTCTCCCCATGGCTGCCTGCGCCTCCAAGCTGTGGCTCTGGCGTCCCTTGGCAACGCGCAGCCCCGTGATTGCCCTGAGTTGACTCCTGTGCAGGCCTGCGGTGCTTCCGTCAACCCAGGCAGCCAGTTTCCTCCAACCACTCTCTGAAAGGTGCGGGTCAGGGTTGGAAGATGCCCGGGAAGAAGGGGCCCAGAGCCTCAGGCCTGACTCCTGGGTGGCCAGAGCCTGCTCCCCATTGCACATGCAGGGAGCAAGGATCCCAGGGAAATCTGGGTGCTGAGTCAGATGTGAAGATGGGAAGCTCCCTTGGTGCCCTTGCACAACTCACAGCCTCGGTTTCCCTTTCTTAAGCCCTCTCCCCCTCTTCCACAGAAGGCATAAGAGGTGTAAAGGGCACACAGGCTTGGATAGAGTTAGGCTTGAAATCTGCTGTCCCCACCTTATCTAATAATTTTCCTTTTCTTCGGACTTTCTGGCCAAGTGCAGACGGGTAAAATAAAGTGATTGTTTATAAAGCGATTGTGGGAGGCAGGTCCTGAGCCTCTGTATTCTCACAGCGTGAAGAGGGTACAGACATATAATAATTGTTAACGAAGCCCCTCCGATGTCTGGGAACCTCTGGGGCCTGGGTCTAGGAGGAAGGCCCCAGGAACCCTGGCGGAGAGGTGTGCGCATGCACTGGGCTGCCTGTGCACCCGTGCTTTGAGAGGGATGCCTGACAGTCGCGGCAAAATGGCTCCTGCCTCCCGCCTCCCCTCCAGCTCCAGAGCTCCTTGGAGTCTGCCCAGCTCTTCTGTCCTCAGAGCCCCCTTGCACATTGAACGTCCACCTTCCACCATCCGCTTGAAGCAATGACACCATGGATGGCTTTGCCCCCACCAGCCACACAGGCTGGAGCTGTCCCATAGCTCCTGGTGACCCCTTGGGGAGGCGAGCAGGGGGGCGGGGGGCATAGATTCTGGAGAGCTGAGAATGTTAACAGGTATTCCAGTCTCGGGAGCAATTTGGGGGCCAACAGTTGTTTGGGTTGGTTGGTTCTTTATTTCTCAGAGCTGCTCCTAGAAGAAGGGAAAACGCCCACCCAGGATATCTGCAGTGAGGAAACGGGCAGAGGTCGCCAGCTTTCTGATACCAGGAGGCCTCCCGCAGGGTGTGGCACAGCCAGAGGGCCCCCACGAGGCCCAGCTCTGGGCCAGCCCATGAGTCCCTAGCTCCTCTCCCACTCTGATCACGTCTCCTAAAGGCTCTGTCACTAGAAAGAAAGGGTGAAGCCCCAGAAGGGCCTGGGATCAGGACTGCTCCGGAAGGTGTCAAACGCCTACCACCAACCCTGCAGGACTCCAGACCGGTGCGCTCGACACTCACGGCTGTGACTCAGGGAAAAAAGACCCTGCTTGTGAGCCCTTTCTGCTGATATTTTTCTCCAAATATTTTCCTAACAGATGTTTCTCCCAGACCCTATGTCAGTGGAGAGACCTGTGTCTCATATTCAGTCAGACAGTTCTGCACCGGAGCAGAGAAGAGGGGGCGTGCACAGCCTGCGAGGCCTGCTGGGCAGTGGTGTTGTCCAGGAGACCCCTGGCTAAGCCAGCTTGCAAGCCCATGCAGCCTAAGGAGGAGAAATGCTGAGCAAGTCTAGCTTGTTCCAAGGCCTCCTGTTGGTGCACAGACCCAGAACTCAGCCATGCCCAGCTCCAGGTCCTCTGCTCTGCAAAGCATGGCCTGAGCTCAGATACTGTCACCATGCAGAGGACTGACTGAAGATGTGACTAAGGGCCTTTCAGCTGTGTCCTTGTGGCAAAAAATAGTCAGGGGGACAGGAGGCAAGGAGTGTGGCACCAGGAATTTGGGCTGTAAGGCCAACAGGTGCTCTCTCCTCTTTCCTCTAGGGCCCTAGCATTTTCCCAGCCATGACTTCCACTCTAAGGCTTAGAGCAGTGCTTCTCCAAACCGTGCCTGGAGGCCCTGGAGTCCACTCAGGCATTCCTGTGGCTGTGGACAAGGTGGCCTAAAGCTGTTTGCACCAAGACTGAAAGAGCTTCAAAGTTTTAGATTTTATCCCCAAAGCTGATGTGACGTATGCATTCCTCTCCCAAGGTGTGCTGGTGAGGTTTCCAGGCAGTAGGTCCCGGACACTGACTGTGCAGGGCTCTGCAGGAGGAGGGACTGGGGAGCCTTAGAGCGGTGGAAAGGGCTGGAGGACCAGGCTTGAGGCTGAACTTCCAGGAACAGCCTCATGAGCTGCTCTGGTGAGGAGACCTCCGCTGCCACCAAGGGTCCCTAGGTGCTCTTTTCGCACCAGGAACTTGATTTTATTGCAGCTGTTCCCACTGCCAGAACATATGCCAGTTCTGTGCCAGGAGCTTGACCTTGCAGCCACCACTTCCAACTATCACCGGAGGTAGAGAAAGCTTCCATTCTCTTTCCTGTTGCCTCACCAGGTCCCAAGATGGAATTGGACACAGGTGCCACTGACTGGCCAAGCCTAGGCCACACATGTCCATGCTCTAGCTGCAAGGGAGGCTGGGAGAGCAGGCTACTGTCACTTTCAGTTTCCATAGGGATAGGCAATCTTTGCCCACTCCCATCCCACATCAAGACTCTAAAAGTGGGAGACTTACCACATACAGAAATAGGCAGGCAAAATGAATGGCAAATGTCTTTGACAATAATCCTCCCATATTTATGCAGTGGAGATGTGGGAGTGAAAAATGGGCCTCTCTGTTGCCATGATTCTGATAACCAACCCTTCCCCCATTGAAAACTACTGTTTCAATATTTTTTTAAATGTTTAAAATATGAATGGTTGCATTCATGCTCCTAAGTGTATCTCAATCCTGGGCAGCCTCCCTCAGGTCCCGGGAGAGCCACATTCCACCAGCCCCACGTTAATCCAGATGTGTACACAACTAGCACATCATTTGCTGGCCTGGGTCTCTGCACCACAGAGAGCCTCATGCCAGTCCTTGTTATTTCACAGGACTCCAAGGCGGCGGAAATGGAATACAGAAATGGCAGAAAATAGAAGGAAACGGCCTGTATGGTAAATTCTCCCTTTTCATTTTTTTTTTCTTTTTAGTTTCTGGAATTCAACACGTTTTGAAATGACTGGACACACTGGGTCTCATTTGTTTGAAGACTGGCTCTAGTCACCTAACCGCTCAGAAGTGGCTGCTTGTAACTCAGCCAGGCATCTGGGGCCACTGTGACCCTGGAAAGTTTTCCCTGGCATCAGGTCCCCTGATTTCCTGGAGGCTGGATGGGGGCAATGCCATACGTTTTTGTACCCACGTGTTCACGGGTGTCATTTGGGTTGTGAGGTGGGTGTGTTCCCACAGAGGTGGGACTGCTCATGTCCTGCAGGGCATCCATCTTTGGAACTTTTTTCTGAATAGAGGGGACAGCGTCCTGCCTGGAGGCCTGGGAGATGCCAGTGGCTACCTGCTGGCCCGGGACCCAGACGACCATAAAATCTGAGAGAAGTCAGCTTCCAAAGCCTCCTCTCTCTGGTGCCAGGTGCCTGCCGCCCTGCAAGCCCAGGATCTGGGGATTCTATGCATGGACCAACTCTACTAAGCCCTATTCTGTGCCCGTCAGAGATTCATTAGCCCAGCCTCCAGGAACAAACATCAGTGTAACTTCATTGGGGGTTGTGAGAATTCTAATAAGAGTCAGACCACCACTCAGAACTCCAATAGGGGGCTCAGTCAGACCCCAGAACAGATGACTGACTGATCAAATACCAGTGAGAAGGAACCGCCCTCTATGACCCTCCACCAATGGGGAAACAGAACCCCAATTGAACAAGACCAAACAGCTCTGCTTTGCCATCCTTCTGACAGTAACAAAAGGAAAGGATGAGGTTCTAAAAGTAAATTTACTCATTCATTTCCTCAGTAAAGGTCTACAGTGCTTACTCTGTGCCAGATGGGGTTCTAATTGTTGGGGATGAAACAGTAGACAATACAGTCAAGAACCCCTGCCCTCACGGGGCTACATTAAAATGATTGTAATCATAACGTCATTTACAAGTCTCAATGTCCTGGAGGTGAAGAGCGTGCCTTTGTCCTCTGCCCTGTGCATGGGGATGAATCATTCTCATGACATGCACTTCTAGAGACCACCCGCTGAGTCCCAGCTGATGGGCGTGCATGGGTGGGGTGGCTTCCTTAACCTTGCTGTGGGGCCATCAATGGGAGATACACCTGCTGCCACAGCTCTACTGAAGCAGACACCGAAGTTAGCAAAACTATGCTGCAGGCTTGTGAGAATTAAGATAACACTCAGACCTCCAGAGACCTGTTGGCCACAGAAACACATAGCCCATGCAGGCCTGTGTGCCGGGCCACTGTGCCCACGGGCAAGTGGGCAATCGGGCCGCAGTGGTTTGTTGCAGCCCTCTCACCTTGCCTGGGTTGTCTGAAATTCATCCTATGTCTTCTCGGGCATGTTATTACATCAGGAGAACATTGAATTATATTGAATTCATCTTCTTTTTACCATCTTTGGGGTTCCTGATGTGGGGGAAGTTTAGTGGGAAATACAACAAAACACAAAGGGACACGGTAACTTTTACAAGACTCTTCTAAAAGGTCTTAGTAGAATGTGCCATCCAAAAAAGAGGATGATTAAAGTAGTTCTTGCAAAAACTAAGAGTTTCAGGTACATGCAGGGCCGAAGAGGCCTCGAACCCAGACCACTCCTCCAATATATGTAATTTAAAGTAAAATTTTATTTATTTTTTAAATGACACACTTGCATGCATGCAGAAGCTAAAGGTATGGCTTTTTTCTGTTTTCTGATGGTGGGATTCTGGGTACATGTCTGCCTTGCTGGTGCGCAAGGCACCCAGCCCTGGTACCAGCAGGCCCTCCCGCCCAACCCTGGGAACTGGATGGCGTGCTCATCTGAGAAGGAAACAGCTGATGGCTTGTGCTGGTGGAGTGTGCACGAATGTGGCTGAACCTGGGACTGATCCAGAAGGGCACATGTGCCCCCTTTTGCTGCTCTGTGCACTCCTTGGGCTGGGGTGTTGGCAGGGTGAGGGGAGCTTAGAGGGCTCCAAACTTTTCCAAGCAGCTGGTGTGTAGGGCCAAGCCACCCCCACACCCCAGCTTGCCCAGCAACGGGCTTCCCCTGCTGTGATTGGCTGCTTTCCTCGGTCCTGGCTGAAGTCTGCCTAGCAGCACAGGGACTGACGCCCCACAGCTACAGGGAAACCAATTGTGCAGCCCTGACTATAAATACCCCACAACAGCTATGCCAGCTGATCGCCTCCTTGAGGATTCCCTTCCCAGATCCTGTTTCCTCCCTCGGCCAGCCGAAATACAGCCAGCTGTGCCCGTAGGAGGTGGCCTCCCTGTCCCCTAGCCTGAGTCTGGCCTGGAGCTGGCCCTCAGCTGATCAACCTATCATGGCCCGGGGGGCTCAGGGTCCTGGCTGACCTGCTCACAGAAGGTGGGAACCAGCAGGGTTCTCCAGGGCAAGATCCTACCAGGTGGATCGAAAGCCCCGCCCAGCTCAGGGCCCACCACCCACCACGACTGGCTTCTGCTTGGACCCAGGCGTGGGAGCTCTGAGCAGCAGGTCTGGTTGGGTGCACGAGGGACGCATCTGAATGGAACTTGGTCAGGCCAGTGCCCCAGAGTCAGGCTTGTTTCCAGACCCAGAAACTGGTCCCAGTGGTCACTTCCAGTGGCAGGCCTGACAGCCTCTCTGCAGACCAGTGGAGGCCAGGGGAGAAGATGGCTGGCCAAGGTGGTAGCAGTGGGTCTCATCAGGTATCATCATCGTCACCTCCCCGGCTGCCACAACCCTGGCCTTCCCAGCTCCTTCCCCCACCTCTCTGAAGCAGAAATCCAAGGGCAACCTCAGTAAGACCAGGCCACCCCAGCATCTGTAAAGGGAGAGATGTAGGAAAGGTGGTGCTTCCCCAAGAAGCCTGTGGGTTCCTCCTCAAGGCCTATGGCAGGAACGGGGCATCTCCTGCCTGACCCCACTAGACCCTGAGGACAGCTCCGTGTTCTGGGGAGATAAATATTACTAGCACATGTAGAGGGCTTTCACATAGTGGGCGCCTTGCAAATGTTTGTGCAGCTGAACCAAACTGCAAATCACCCCAACTCCTGGGCTGGAATAAGAGGCAGGTTGCCCCACTCTTCTCAGAGGGAGGCAGGAGGTGGAGCTAGGAGCCCGGAGGCTTGGGGTCAGGCCGTAGGTCTGATGCTCCCTAGCTGCAGAGACTGGCAAAAGTTAACCAGTCCGAGCTGCAGGTCCCTCAGCTGTAAAATCAGGACAGGAACCTCTCAGCCTGCTCTACTAAACCATGGGAATGTCAGGCATCCCCATGCACTTTGAAGACTGTGCCCAGCGACACCAAAGTCTGAAGTCATGGTTACTTAACCCATGGAGGCATCCCCAGTTTCTTTTGAAGACTCTGTATTGGGTGGTGAGCACACAATACAACATATAGATGGCATATTATAGAATTGTGCACCGAGACCTATAGAATTTTATTAACCAATGTCACCCCAATAAATTCAATAAAAGTTTTTTTAAAGGAAAAGAATCGCATTAGTATCCTCAAAAAAGGCCAAAGAACTACATTCCCATAATAGTATGAAAATTTGGATATATGTTTTTTGAAAACTATGAGGAACACTAAAAACCATGAATTCAATAGTCAAATGAAGCTAGTAGTAAAAGTACAAAAAAAAAAAAAGAATCTGTGTTGGCACCTCCTGGGAGGTGTGAAGGTGTGTGCGCAGGGCTTCCAATCGTGTGCCTCTGCGTTCAGGTGTGTGACTGCTGATTCCCGCGTATGCACGCCGTGGGGCTGTGCAGGCGGGTGTGCCTGTGTTCAGGCCAGGCCTGGGATGACCTGGGCCCCCACCAGCCTGCCTTTCTTGCAGACACGCAGCTCCCCGCTCTGCCCGGGGTAAATTCCACTGTGGTCCCAGTGGTCACGGCAGGTTCCTCTGTCTTCCTTAAATAGGAAACCTGGCAGAGAAGCAGCATCCTCAGCAGACCCAGGTCATCACTTCCTACGACAACCAAGGTAAGGAATTCGCCACGTCATGACCTCTTCTCCAGCTCCCGTGTGCCAGAGACGGCGGGTGTGGAGCTCAGACTGGGGAGCAGGTCCTCTCTGTCCCATGGATGTTGGAGCTCCCTTTCCCTCTTCTTACATCCCATGGGAAGCAGTGAGAGGCTGCATGGTATCATGGGATCGAGAAATAGACCTTGGGCCACAGAACCCACTGGTATCATCATCATCACCCTCATTGCCATGGCCGTAGCTGTCATTTACTGAGTGCTAACCTTGTGCCAGGCACCCTGCCAAGCCATTGACATGATTGTTCTCATAAAAATTAAGCTTCACAACAATCCTCTTTGATTGGTACTCCTACTATCCTCACTTTACAGGTGAGTAAACTGAGGCTTGGAAAGGTGGACATCTGTCCAAGATCAAATGGCCAGCAAGATTCAGAGCTGGGCAATTGACCTCCCGCCAACCACCACCAAGTCCTGAGCTGTTAACCTTCAAAGCTCTGCTTTCACCACAGCCGCCCCCCCAACCCCAACACCCGTCTCCCCTGCTGACTCATGTGGAGCAGGAGGGCTCCACCGCTGAGGCTGGAGGTGAGGCCGGGTTAGGGCCGCCACCCCTGCCTCAGCTTTCTGCTCTGCATTAAAGACTCAAGGCCTGGGTCTGAGAGTTCCCATAGGCCCAGCCCTAAGAGTTCATCACCAGTGCTCTCAGCACCATTGTCCTAACCAGCAAGGAGATTATCTAACAACATAGAGGGAGCAGTGGTGGCTCCCTGGAGGATTAGGGCCTCGGGGGACTGTCCCCTGAAACTTGTGCAGGAAGAACCTGGCCATGCGGTTTTAGTACCCCTTTAGGCCAGAATTCCTGAGAATGCGGCTCCAGGACAGGACCCAGGGCCTCTTGGCGGGCCCACCACGAACTGCCACCTGCCCTGAGTACTGCAAGGACAAGCCTGGGCCTTACCGCTTCTCTGGACTGGCAGCACACAGCAGGCCACAGAACAAGAATAAGCAATACCTCACTAAAATGAGAATGGATCAGCGACCATTTGTCTTGCTTAGTTCTGGCCAAACCCCTTGATGGGGTCCTGGTGTTATCCCTGTTTGCACAGGAGAAAGTTGAGGCTGGGGATGCTGCCATCCCAGAGCCTGGCTCTAAGGTCAGATCTCTGCACTGCACTGCCTCCCTGTGCCACAGGCAGACAGGGGTGGGCTGGTCACCAGAGCTGCATCTGGCACCCTGGCTCGTGTGTGCCACTTGCATGCCACCTCCCAGCATTCAAGGCTTCCAGGGGGACAGGAAGAAGGGCAGCCTTGTCTTCCTATAAGGGTTGGAGCCCTGTGTAGACTGGTATGGATGGGCCAGGCTGGGTCCTGTGAGAGCCTGGGTCACAGAGAGAGGAGGGCTCCCCATCTTTAGGGGCGTAGCCAGAGTTCACACTGATACTGACCCATTCATTCCACAAAAAGCAGTTCCTGATGCAGGCACTGGGGATCCATCAGAGAAGGAAACAGACAGAGGCTCCTGTCCCCATGAAGCTGACACCCTAGTGAGAGACAGATGACCTAACGAAGGGACTCAGCTAAGGCTGGAGGGGAAGATAAAGCAGGAAGGAGAATAGGGGGGGGGGGTGTATGTGCACATGGGTGTGTATTAGCCTCCTATGGCTGCTGTAACATATTATCACAAAGTCAGTGACTTAATACACATTCACTCTCTTAACTCGTTCCAGAGGCCCCAAGCTTCAAATCCATCTCAAGAGCTCAAGTCCAAGTGTCGTCAGGCAGGTCATGGGGAGAACCTGTTCCTCCCCTCTTCAGCTTCTGGAGGCTGATGACACCCCTGGACTTGTAGCTGCATCGCTCTAACCGCTGCTTCCATTGTCACATTGCCTTCTCTCCGTATCAGTAGTTAAATCCCCCTCGGCCTCTGTTTTATGAGGATCCTGTGATTACACTGGGCCTACCCGCATACTCCTGGATAATCTTCCTAACCCGAGATCCTTCGCTTAATCACATCTGCACAGTCCCCTTTGGTGTATAAGGTGACATTCAGAGGTTCCTGGAATTGGGACATGGATATCCTTAAGGTCTATTATGAAGCCTACCACAGGGGACGATTTAAAATAGAATCGTTGAAAAAAGACCTCCCTGAGAAGGTGACATTCAAGGAAGGGAGGAGGTGAGGGAGCAAGCCATGCAGGTATCTGGGGAAGAGCTTCCAGCAGAGGGAGCCCGGGTGTGAGGGCCTGGTGTGTTCAGGAAGCGGAGGTCAGGTGGACACAGGGCAGACCCTGCAGGACTGCGAGGCTACCCGCAGTATGCTGGCTTCTAATCTGAGTGCCATTGGAAGCCACTCGGTGTTAAACAGGAGAGCCACCAAAGAGTAGAGAATAAACAGAAGTGGGCGAGGGTGGGTGCCAGAAGACCTGTAGATAGCAGCATGATGATCCAGGCAAGAGAGGCTTCCCCGAGGGTGGATTGGGGTGTAAGAGAAAGAGAGGAGTCAAGGTTTGGGAGCTGAGGATGGAGATGGAGGAGCTGTAGGAGGCTACTTTTAGGGGAAGAACCTGAAGAATTCAGACTGGGCCTTGCTGAGGTTGGTGCCGACACCAAGCAACCACATGCCTGCTATTTTGGATCGTAGTGACCAAGGACATCAGTTATTCCATGTGCCACTCTCCTACTCATCCAATGAGCCTTGAGCCTCATAAGCTCTGTTCTGGGAACCACATCAGCCCCCATGCAGCTTCCTCGGCAGCTCTTTCTATGACAGTAACAGCAGGGCCCCAGGGGGACACTTGTTGTGGGCCAGTCAGTGACCTAAGCCCCTTTTGGGGAGTCACCTCATTTAACCCCACAACCACCTTCTGTGTAGGTTATCACTCCCATTTTACAGATGGAAAAACTGAGAGCAGAGAGATTTTAGTAACTTGCCTGAAGTTACACAGCTGGCACATGCCAGGCCTGGAAGTTAAACCCATGTCTGGGAGCTTCCAAAGCCAGTGGGCATAACTGCTCCACCACACGCCCCCTTCCATACAGGGCAGGGACCAATCTGGTGGGGACAATTGAGTGCGGCACCCCCTCCACTTTCCCGCCAGACAAGAAGTTCAAAATTTCAGTCCGAACTGTTCCTCAGAGTGGTCCAGCTTTCCCCCTCCTCCTCACCTTGTCATTCAGTGGAAGACTTGACACAATGGGTGACAAAAGATCATGGTAGGGGCTTCAGAAGATCAGTCTGTAACGGGTGTGAGGTTGAATGAGAAGAGCGTGCTTAATTCCCCCCCTAACTTCAGGCCTCGACAGTGACTCTTGGAGTCAGTTTTCTGTTGAGGCGTTCGTCCTCCAGGTCCTCCGCCCTTATCCCCTTGCAGACCCCCTGCCTTCTTTGATCATGCACGCACTGGCGTCACACCGCCCTGTTCCCAGATCTGGGACGGCCCTAGGGTGCTCCACTCTGCAGAAGGAATCGTCAATGGCCCTGTGTTTTCAAGAGCCCAGTGGAAGCCGGGTCAGTTAGGGCCACAGAGAGGCCCTTCGTCACACACGCCGGCCGGGGCCCCGGTGACCTCACCCTGAGCTCTGGCATGCTCGGTTGTCATCTCATAACTAGAGCTGCTGAGTGGGGCTTTCATAGCGTGTCCAGCAGTACCCGGTGAGCATTCCACAGAGCCGGGCTCTCCCCATCACCATCCAGCAGGCTGCTCTCGGTGCCACAGCTCACCACGCCCTGCGCTAACGCTGACTACTGCACTCCGGGGCAGAAACCACAGCAGGTCTCTTGACCACCTACCTCGCTAGAGTCTGTTTTAGGGGTATTTTTCAGACGCTTTAGCTGAGGTTTGCTGATGCTCCGCTACTGCAGGAAAATATCCCAAGGCAAAGAATTCAGGTTGTAAATGTGGCAGCCAGTTACGGAAAGAGTTAATGAAGACTTCAGTCAATAAAGGCAGCTATCTGAGATGTGTCCCTCATTCCCCACACACACCCGCGTGTACACGCAGCCTCTGCTAACTGATCAATGCTTCAGGCAGCCACTTCCAATCAGAGTTAATGAACAACACGAAATCTGTTTGCCATCTCTGCATTAGTAATTCTGAGCAAATTAGGCCTTTAGACAAACCCTGATTCCAACCTGCCGAGACCTGGAGGGAAGCTGTCGTGTGGGAGGACTCTCCTGGCTGGGTGAGTGGCAGGCCGGAGCAGCGTGCCGGGGACATGCTGGGCTTGCCGGCCGCACCTCCGCTCCTGAGAGGGGGAGGGAAAGGGAAGCGGAGCCAGTGGCAGCTGGAGAAGCCCGTGGGAGCCACTTCTTAGGCTCGCGGAAAACAATCATTTAGACACTTTCACTAGGACAGCCAGAGCTGCAGCTTCAGAAATGCTAGTTGGGTGACAGCTGGTAGAAGTGGGGAGGGATGTCATGAAAGCGCCAGCCAGGTGACCTAAAGTCCCTTTGGGTTTGGTT